AAACAATGAATCATGGAACACTACATCAAAAACTAATGATGTAATGTATGGTGACTAACATAACATAATAAAATTAAATTAAAAAAAAAAGAAAGAAGTTACTAGGTCTAGTCCATACTCAAGGAGAGGGAATGCTGTATTCTGATACCATGTCTGAGAATACTTATAATATACTTATAAATGTTGTTCATCAAATATTTCTGGCTTTCTGCCTTCTGGAAATTGCAATTCCTGCTCCCTATGATTACTCAGAGCCCATGTGACCAGTTTTGGCCAGTGAGTTAACAACAGTCATTAACTGCAGTGCAAGATCCTCTTGAGTTGTCTTTCTCTATGCCACAAAAGCCAAGAATGTACCAAATAGTAGTAGTTCAGCAACCTGGGTGCCAGAGTGGGGTAAACATAAAGCACAACCACAGAGACCTCCCAAAGACCTGGATCATGTGCAAAAATATAAACCTTTATTGTTTTACACCACTGAGATTTAGGGGTTAGTTGTAACCATAACTTAGCAAAATTTATCATAACTTACACAGACTTAGGTCCAGCCTTAAGAACTGCCATAACAAAAATCTAAAATATAAGTCATTAGCATAGTGGTCAGGCAGCAGGTGACAAGAAATCTGTTACTGGAAGCTGAAAGCATAGTTATTTATGTTATTAGTGGCAAATGTATTGGGAAAGACCTTTGCAAAATTCTTGTGATAACCTAGAAGACAGATTATTTACTAATGAACTTGAATTCGAGGGGAAGAGGTTAGAAGACAATGTTGGTAAAACGTCGGTTGCTATGGTTGTGTTAGTCAAGTTATATGAAAGAGAGATGGGCTGAGAAACGCAGTGTGCCAACAGGAATAAAAATGGATAGAGCCCCCACAAATTCCAATTATGTTCAAGTGACAACTTGGAGAGTCAAGGGTGTATAATTTTCTTGGGACACATTTTATTCCCCCTTAGAACTTTGCAATATATTTTCAATGTCTTCCAGTACTAAATGTGCTATAGATGAGTCTAACAAACCCTAACTGTTTTTTCTCCACCATCCCCCCACCACCTTCCTAGGATTTTGTAGTTCCTCAGAATTTTGTGGAAATTATTATTTCAGTAAAGTGGTGATGGAGTTCTTAATTGAAATCTGGTCTAAATTGATCAGTAAGAGTTCAGAGTGTTTTTCAATGTTTGACAATTTTCGGTACTCAGTAATTTTCAGGAATGTCTGATTTTTCCGTCTTCTTCCTTCCATCTAATTTACACAAATCAAATGCCTAGTTTTAATTTCATCTCTTCCACTAGACTTCTATTTACTGATCTATATTATATCCTCATCCACTGAATCCTACTGAACTTACAGTCAGCACCACACAATATTGTAAGACAAAACTGTTTTAGTACTTCGTGTGTATCTTAGATGGTAGGCTTCCTGGAGCTGGATATATGTCTTGATTTCTTTTGAATACTCCAGAAGTCCTGGAAGTTAATGTCGGGAGTATCCAGCTTCAACGAACACTGACTGGGTCTCTGAAGCGCTTTTTTGTCAAAGTGTATAAACTACCTAGTTTCGGTTGTAGCCTGACACGCCTATTTGGGGTTTCTTTGTTGCTCATCGACAGTTTTCTGTTAGAAAAAAGGGCTTGTTGGATAGACGCACGAAAGCAGAGCGTCCCGAGGAATCTGATTAAACGGAATTTGACCCACCTCCCAGGGGGTTGAGACTGTGAACAAAAACTAAACCTCTGATAGCCCATAAACACTTTTAAAGACACACATTTTAAAATCCCACTCCAAAGCCTAGTTACCCGGCAGTTACCCCAGCCTCCGGAGCTGCAGAAGCTCAAAGATGTTGGCAAGCAGCGGGATCTACTGTCCGGAGGCCCAGTCGCTATGGTAACGGTGGGACGCGAGTACCTTTGCGAGCCCTTCTGACGGAAAAACTTAGCTTGATTCTAGGGAAGAGCGTTGCGACGGCAGTGACTTGCGGCGGCAGCGTGACTTACGGCTTCCCGGCTCCTCCAGGCGCGCCGCTGGTGGGCGGGGCTTGCAAGGAAGTACGAAAGTGGGAGCGGGCTGTCTAGTACCTTGGTTTGCCGCGCCGCAGCATGACCCAGTCGGTGGTCGTACAGGGTAAGCTGCGCGGGAGGGTGGGCACTCGGTCGCCGCGCAGCCAAGTGGCCTTGTTTGCCACCTAATGGCTACTCTCTTTCCCTCTCGCTGATCGCAGTCGGCCAGTGCGGAAACCAGATCGGCTGCTGCTTCTGGGATCTGGCGCTGAGGGAGCATGCCGCGGTCAACCAGGTACCGGCCCCGCCACCTAAGCAAGAATCAGTCCATTTGACCTTTTAGCTGACCGGCATAAGGTGTATGGGATCTTCTCAGGAAAGAACAAACTGGTTTTTAAACCTTTGTTGGCGTTAGAACAAACGCTGGCCAAAGACCTTAGTCTTAAGTCTCCCTGATTCTCAGGGTCTCATTTTTATCAGGATTCTTGTGAAGAGCAATGAGATAGTATTGGGAAGTACTTTGTAAAATAGGTAACATGTGTGGTATTATATTCCTGAATTTAATCAACTTTAAAATGATCACCAGGAATCCAGACAAAGCTCTCTCGTTTGACGCACCTGTTCCACAATCCTATGGGGACTCCTTTGTTCAGCACCCTCTGCTAAACTTAATCCATAGGTTTTATGTCATTTATTCTTTAGGTAGGAAGAATCAGTCTAAGCACTTTATGATAACTTGCATTTTTGCTGTTGTTCTCATAGCCAAATATCAGCCATTACAGTATTGTGAGATTATTAAATCGAAAGGATTTCATTTGGGAAAGAGACAAAACTTAATCAAATGTTATATATACTTTTTTCTTTTTAGAAAGGAATTTATGATGAGGCAATAAGCAGCTTCTTTAGAAATGTGGATACCAGGTAAGATGGGATTGAAGTCTATCACGGAGCATGATTCGTCAGATTGGGTGAGACTTGTTCAAAGGACAATGAAACAGTTGATAACTATAAAGAAGTTGTCTGGCTTTTTTGTTTTTCTCATTATTGAAGGCATATTTTTTTTCTCATTATTCCCATATCATTAATATTTCTCATGTTATTCTGCAGAGCAGGACAGCAGGTTTCCTTTTAAGGCCATATGAAGGAACAAAAAGAACCTTTAGTGTGCCTTCTCTTATTTTTATTTATTTTTAAAGATTTTGTTTATTTGAGGGAGAGCGGGCGCTAGCACGAGTGGGAGTGGGAGAACAGACTCCCTTATGAGCAGGGGGTCCGACACGGGGCTTCATCCCAGGACCCCGGGATCATGACTTGAGCGGAAGACAGACAGACAACCAACTGAGCCACCCAGGCAGCCCTCATGTGCCTTCTTTTAACATGACCTTGAAATAAAGTTTTACTGAAGGACTACTGAAAGTTTCCCTCCAGGTATATTGTTAATGCATTCAAGAATGACTAACTTTTGAAAGAAAAATATATTTTTTACACTTCTGTGACACTATCTGTAGTCAGGAATATTTGTTCTGTGAATGGAATGTGCTAAAAAGGAGAACAACAGTTGTCAAATTACTTTTGTCTATATAATAAAGAGCGTATGTATCTTTTATCTGAACGTAATTTTGACATTCAAGGTATGTCCATAAGCTTTTAATGTTTAATCATAAAGTTTGTGTATTTTGAAAATAATTAATAAAACTAAACTGTGGTGGACGTGAACTAAATAATATATCATGAATATCCACCTTTATCTAATTCAGTAAAAATTCTAGTTCTAGTTTGAATTAGTTGGTTGGGTATTTGAGGTGAGTTATCTCCTAGGGAAGGCTAATTAATTAGTCTCCACTTCCTTGGTGAATCCCAGAGTCTGACCCTCAGACTTGCAAACTCAGAAAACTTGTTAACATCTTGAGAATGAGTACATTGCTTTCCAGTACAGGCAGATAAACCAAACTCAAAGAGAATGGGAGATTAAAAAGCAGAAAGTCAATGTAGTAATTGATAGTAGGAACCATAACTCAAGAGCACCAGATCTTCCTTTCCCTTCAAAAGCACTTTCTCTTCTGTAGGAAATCTACCTGAAAAGCTAAATAATAGAAGGTTGCTTGGTGATCATGGAATCAGACCAAGGGGAGTTAGGTGTTTTGCCTTAATGATTGGTGTCATTTATCTTTATTATGTGGAGATATCTGCTATCTAGGATTCCCTCTTGTTTGTGAACTAGAACATCCTCTCCCCTAAATATTGTTAAGAGACTCAAATTTGCTTTTGTAATACTTCCTTTTATGTGCTTTCCTTCTAAGTAAATTCCCACTCTCATCCCCTTTACTCTTGATGGCCAATCCTTTCATTAAGTATTACTTATTAGTTAAGACTCAGGGAGCTAGTCTTTCTTAATAAGGCGACTACATAACTGTACTCTCCTGTACTCTGTTTCATAATTTAACGTGAGGGCATTCTTATTTCCCCAATCCCAAGTTTATCCAAAAAGGGGAGATGAGTCTTGGCATTTTACTCTTCTTTCTATGTACTAGCAACACCTGCCAGCATCTGTTCCATGTTAGTACAAAAAAAACTTTCAAAAACAAGACCACATTTTTGTGTATACTTGTATATCTATTTGAGGAAATGACCATACCTTTTTAATAGCATACTAGGAATGTACCTATACTAGCGGTTAACAAACCTTTCCTGCAAAGGACCAGATGGTAAATATTTTAGGTTTTGCAGACCATAAGGTCTGTGTCACATCTGTTTGACTCTGCTGTTGTAACAGGAATGCAGGTATAGCTTGCTAGTGCATATCAAGTGGGCATGGCTGTGTTTGAATAAAACTTTAGGAAAATAAGCAGCTGGTCAGAGTTGGCCCAAGGACCATAGTTTACCAACCCAATCTATAGCATCATCTGTGCTCAATTCAACTTCCTTTTATACATTGTCTTGTAAATTGTATTGACTCATACCCTGTGTTTGGTCATAGATGTAGTTACTTTAGTTCAACATGAAATTCTAGGAACAGCCATAGATACTCAATGATATATAACTGATATATCAGTTGATGAATGTTTGGCTACAATAGGAAACCTCATTAATGGTGGCTTACACAAAGTATCCAGTTATCCCATATAAAGAAATCTGGAAATCAGGTGATTTAGGCTTGGAGAAATGCCTTAAAAGACCAAGGTACTTTTGTTTCATTATTCCTATTGTGTTGGCTTCTTGTCCTCATGTTTATTTTTTTTATAACTATAAAGTGGCAGCCTCCACTCCATGCATCATATCTTTATTCATGTTCAAGGTAGGAAAAGGGAAGAGTTGGCACCAACTGCATCTGGTCGTCCTTATCAGAAAAGCTTCCCAGAATATCTCCTTTTTATCTCATTAGTAAGAACTGGATTACATGGCCAGCCCTAACTATAAAGAAAGCCAGGGAAAAAAGTACCTTACTTTTCAGCCCAAGGGGAGGGTAGACAAGGGAGAAGAATGGGAATGGCACCTTCTACGTTGCCTTTTGTGTCTACCTCACCAGGCATGTAAGTAGCTTTATTATATAAATGGGAATTAACTTTATTACCTAACAGTAGCATTAGCCTTGGAAGATCTTTTGACCTGTTCTCATTTTTTATCTTTCAGAGTGGTTGGTGATGGTGGCAGTATTTCCAAGGGGAAAATTTGTTCTTTGAAAGCACGAGTAAGATCTGTATACTTGGATTCTTATATTCTGTGTGTTTTAAAAATAACTATACTTCTGTAACTATCAGAATAAACTATTAACTTCTAAAATTTAAAAAATATTTACTAAGCCACATTTTAATATAAATATAATTAGGCAGACATTTATATCTACCTGGAACTTTGGGGGGAAAATTTTGTGCTTAAAGTAAAAACACTGTTATATTTAGCATTTTTTTATAAATGTTTCAGGGGAAATACACATCTGGGTAAATGATAACAAAAGGAGCTTTCTTAATTCTAAGCCTCAAACACGTACTAATGCAGGTTAATTTTTCATTTGAAGATAATGGAACATTTCTTTGCATCAGTTACTATTCCCAGTACAAAGCACAGATCCAGCCACGTTACAGTGAATACCATAACCATGTAAGACCTCTTGAACAAAAATGCTTTGAGTCAGTAGCCCATATTTAGTCATAATCTCATTCCAACAACACTTCTGCGATTGTTTCTCTACAACAAACTGCTTTTTCCAGTTGTAGATCAATAAATTTAACAGAAAAGCAGTTTGGATGGAAGGAATTGAGACAATAAGGATCAGACTTGGAATTGTGCCTGGAAGAGTGAAAAGCAATCATGTTGTGGTATCTCGGAACTGTCTCCTTGTATCTGTAATCTCTGATGTCCTTGGAAAACAAAATTTAGTGGCAGAGACCATGTGCTTGTAGGCTGTTCAGATGATTAACAGTTGGTATCCTGCCTGCTATGGAGAGCGCCAACATCCCAATCCAAATCTTACAGAAAAAGTGACATTGACATTTCCCAGAGCACTCCCAATTTGAGCTCTTTCCCAGGACCCTATCAGTGAGCAAGGTAGGAGGTGGAGGAAATGCCTTTGGGAAAGAATAAATCAGTGTGTGTCTGTCACCTTTGACTTGTCCTAGGAAGGTACTCTTCCATTTCTCCTTAGGAGTCTTGGTATTATGTGGCTGTGATCACTGAAGAGTCTAGGCTTCACAAGATAACTTGGTGGTTAGGTCCTTCCACTGTGTCCAGTATCCTAGGTTGACGGGCAAATACTCAGAGTTTTGTAAATCCTATATTACAATTAAGGGAGAGCTCAAAGACCAGAAAGCTATCACCAGGTTGCTCTGGCAGAAAACAATAAACATCAAATCCTGGAACAGTTGTGACTCCAGACCTTGGTTGGCTGCATGAGGAACCCAGAATAATTCCTCCTCAGTTAATTTCCAAATGAAAAACAAATCAAAGACTTGATGTGACTAGAATTGAAATTCTATACCATGTCAGCGTTTTTAATGCTCAGTGACGATGACAGTGATGATTCTATCAAAACTGACTTAAAGAGGTGCTTGAATGTCAGTTTGTATTCTGCCTGTTCCTTCCTTTGCCAGACTGCAAGGTATCTGAGGGTAATCTTCCACAAATTCTCTTAAATAAGTCTGTCTTGGAACAAGGCCATTATAAGCTAATTTTTTTTTTCTTTTTGTAATCTTAACACAACTTGTAATATACTACAGTTTGCCCACACAGTGAAGTCTCTCTTATGGTTGATTAGGTGTTAAAGTCAACATCTAGGTAACACTGCATATTATCATAAAATATCCTAGAAAAACCCTAAATTGCCAGTAAATAACCCTATATAGTCCAATATACATAAAGTGTATGTATATTGCTTGCTGTATATAAGAGAGCACATTTGTAATACATAATTTTACAGTCTTTCTGATATACTACTGTGATACACTATTGTACAGTTAGAATATTTCTAATATACTGGGTAAGACTATTTGAATTGCTTGCTTATAGTAGCGTAGTTAACTACACACACAAAAAAAAGAAGAGCATAGAGTTTGGTGGTTAAGACTGAAGATTCTGCAGCCAAACTAACCAGGTTTGAATCTCCGCTCCATCACGTACTAGCTGGGTGATCAAAGCAGGGGTAATTATAGTACCTATGCATAAGGTTGTGAGGATCAAATGGGGTAATACATACAAAGCACTTAGAATACTGGAAGTGCTTAAAGTCACAGGGTCACAAGAACTAAAAAAAAAGCCTGTAAACCAAGCACTTGCTCTGTGACACTGAATCAAAGAGTTTATAGCTTTGTAGTGTACTCTGTTATTTCAGAATTTTTTTCAGCTTTTTTAACTATTTATTTTACCTTTTCACTTACCTTCCTCAGTGTAGAAAACATGGGAAGTACAAAATAGTGAGGGTAGGGGTTTTATAATCCTACTGCCAAGCTATCCTTGCCTACATTTTGCTGTGTTTCCCTTCAATCTTTTCTATTTTTCTTTCCATACTTAATTTTATGTTTTATATTCTCATTTTCTTCTTAGTTATAAAGGTTATCTCCCATGTCAATAATGTTTGCGGTAATGAAATAGATTTTCTTGGGTGTAGAGACCCATTGTCATCTTTGACTTCTATCCAGGGCCTTGGTTTGCACCTGATAGTAAGTCTACTGATTTGAATTGGACAGTTTTGGGCTGCAATTCATGAAGAGCAGCATGGTTGTTCCTGGTGAGCAAGTGTATTAACATACCCAACATTTATTGAGAATTTTTTTCTGGCTAGGGCAGCTTTTAAATTTCTGAGACCTTGTTCTCAAAACATTTACAGTCACATAGGCACATGATAAAAGAATTGTTAGAAAATCAGTTGAGGGGATTATTCAGTTCTTCCCTCCGCACCCACATGGTATTTCAGAGTAGGATAAGAGTTTAGAACCCACCTTTTAATTGTATTCCACCTCCTGAGCAGAGTGAAATGACTTTTCTTTCATATAACAGATTCTACATAAAGATTTGATCAAGCTTAAACTATAAAAAGAACAATGCAACTTTTAGTTCATAAATTTATTTACAGAGTTATTAGCTCTAAAGAAAAATACGCTAATTCAATTTTATTTCTTTCTCAGGCTGTCTTGATTGACATGGAGGAAGGGGTAGTAAATGAAATTCTGCAGGGACCATTGAGAGATGTGTTTGATAGCAAGCAGCTCATCACTGATATTTCTGGCTCAGGCAATAATTGGTGAGAATATGCTCTATGCAAAAATTGAATGTCATCTGAAAAAAATGAATGATCTTTCCTTTATTCTAATAGGTCCTGCTGACATGAAAGCAAGATCTAACCTGCCACACCTGCCTCTAGGCTTTTCAGCCCATCATCTTTTCCTGGATGAATGATGGGATTTCTCAATGCTGAAAAGCCACCTGTATCATAGTTCTTTCTTCACCTTTTTTTAAGAAAAAATCGTGAAAAATGGATTTACTAAATTCCTTGTAAATTGATTCTTACATAATACTAGTAACAAATTGTTAACTAGTTTTATAAACTGTTCTCTTACCTATATTATATGACTCTCTCAAGTTCTCCAGCTGGTCAGACTTGATTGGACTGATAAGAGGTACAAGCCAGACCAGTATCCCAGCATTTAAGCTCAGCCTAAGGCTATGTTTAGCTCTTAAATTATATACCTGTTCTCCTTAATGGGGTAAAAAGCTTTAACAATGATCATTTGAAAATTTACATTGAGACTGTTTTTGCTGTTTTTTAAAAATTAAGTAGCTTCTTATTATTTGCAAGTCTAATATTTACTATTTTATCTATTTGCAATCTGTCTCTCAGGTTCCTAATGTGTAGTAATATCATTTTACTAAAGCATGAATTTACTGGGTCCCTGGCTGGCTCGGTTGGAAGAGCGTGCAGCTCTTGATCTCAGGGTCATGAGTTCGAGCCCCATGTTGCGGGTAGAGATGACTCTAATAAATAAACCTTTAAAGTATGAATTTACATTTTGCATTCTTAGAAATTCATCTGGGGAGAACCAGCCACTAAATGAATTCACCTGCCCACTTAACTGGCTTTTCACTAATTGTGTAACTTTTTCTGTAATTTTTTGAGTTACACAACCGTGGACATCATTCATTCATTTTCTCATCAATTTTTAATGCATCAAAGTGCTCCTTGCAAATTTGATTAATCAAAAAGGTTTGCAGAGCCTTATGAGTATCAGTTTTCTATTGTGTATCATTTCAACTAATGAAAACATGATGTGACCAATGTTTTCGCCTATATTAAACCAATATGTTAGTTCAAAATTTTTTATTTTTAATGTCTTTCTAGTTGACCACATTCTACTTTTTAATATGTAAAACTTACTGTGATCAGAGTTCATTTTAAATGGAGATGAGAAAAAATTATGTAAAGTCTTATACCTAAAAAAAAAGAGAAGATAAATTTAGAAAACCATAGCTTAATATCCATTGATAATGAGCTATTTTATCAGGATATTTGAGGATTATAGATCTTTATATTTGTTACATTTTCTATCTAGTATCTCTGAAATGTCACAATATGATTTATACATATGAAATAAGAAGAATTAATATAGTAAAAATGGTTTTTCAAGTTTTTCTGTAGTCTTTTCATTTAGATCAGAAATAATAAAATCTTGAAATAATAAATGCCAGGGTGTTTTGTGATTTATATTCTTTTTTTCAGGGCTGTGGGGCACAAAGTTTTTGGCAGTCTTTATCAAGAACAGATTTTGGAGAAACTCAGAAAATCGGCAGAGCACTGTGATTGTTTGCAGTGTTTTTTTATAATACATTCCATGGGAGGAGGTAAAGTTATTCACTCATTTCCCTGTAATAATGTGACAGTGTAAGTGGGAATTCATTTTGCAAACAGTAATCTGTTTTCAGACCTATGCTTAATAAAGGTACAACTTTTTAACACTGTATGTGTTTGAGTATATATATAACTGCTTCTTTAAATTTTTGTCAAATTTTGTTGCTATTACCATTGCTTATAAATTGAAGGCCTTTTAAGAGTCAGTACAACTGAAGCTGAAGTTTTTTCTTCTTCTACTTTTAGTTTCTTTTTTAAAATTTCCAGCTGCATTTCAGTACATGAGAGCTTTCTGGGAATGCTGACTTTCTCCTAAAGTTTGCTTGTGTAGTCTCGTATTCCACCTAGAAGCTAAGTGTTTCTGGTTTGTTCATAGGTCCCCTTGCTAAGAAATATCAGTACTCTTTAACTGCCTTCCCAACCTTTCTTGTGTCCAATAAGAGATATAGATGAAAGAAATCCTTTTAGTCAGCTCCTTTAAATCATTACTTACATAGTAATTACCTTGACCTAGAATAAATGATCTGTATTGCTTTCTTTCCCCAGGGAAGCCTGTACCTTGCAAATGAAGTATTTTGCTCCTCTGTTTTATGAAATAGAAACATACCGTATTTTGCTAATTTCCAATAGGATTAGTGAATTTTAAAAGAAAAATTTGCCATGCTATTTTTCTCCAAGCTCAGATTAAGATTTTATATTCAGCAAGTTCTATAAATTGATTTTTATACATATTATTCAATATGATAACATTTTAAAATTAAAGTTATAATTGTTATGTAACCACGCCTTTAGAGGACCATCATAATCATTAAATTAAGAAATAAATTTTCTTTGTACTAGTATAATTAATCTGCAGGTTTGGATAAGTTTTCAAAAAACCAATTTGATTTATAGTTCATTATGGTTCCTTTTTTAATCCCTCTATGACTCAGAATCTCAGAAGACTATTCTCATAATTTACTGGCAAAAATAAATAATAGTGAAGGTTAAAAATGGTCTCCTGTCCCACATCTAAATCCTAGTCTCTCTCCTCACGGGTAATCAAGTTTGCCTATGTCTATATCCTTCCAGATATTTTCTATGCCTTTAAAAGTGCGTGTGTGTATTTTAACATAAGATCATGCAATGCATATTATTCCAACATTTTTTCACTTTATGTCTTTCCCAAATGCCTTTCAGTATCTTCTCCGTCTCCTAGAGTTCAGTTGTGTTAATATATAAAAATTTTTGAAGTCCATTTTCCATTAGTGGATGTTAAGTTGTTTATGGTATTTAGTTATTGCAAACAGTCCCCACTTGAACATCTGGTACATAACATTTCTGCTCATTTATGCCTCTATAGCTATAGGTAATATTCCCAAAAGGAAAATGGGACCAAAGAATATGTACATTTTAAATTTTGATTGATATTATTAAATAGTTTCCTACATTATTTCACCAATCCATATTATCAGAAACAATGTATACAGGTTTATTTCCCCACACTTGTCACTGACACTGAGTATTATAAAACATTAATACATTCAAAATTAGATTGTTTTAATTTGGATTTCTTTGATTAGAAGAAGAGTTGAGCATCCTCACATCTATGCACCATTTGATTTATTATGAATTACATATTTACATACTTTACCCGTTTTTCTGTTGTATTATTCATGTTTTTTTGGTTGTTGATTTGTGAGACCTCTTTATTAAAGAAATTTAGTCCATCATATGTGTTGGAGATTTTTTTCTTAGTTTGTCTTTTTCATTTTGTTTATAGGTTTTATATATGTATGTGTTTATATGTTTAATTTTTAATGGAATCAAAACTGTCTTCTATATAATGCTCTGGTTTTTAATGTATGTTCCTGCCCCAAAAAGCCATAAAATTCCAAGTTCCTCACAATTTTATTTTGAATCATTTATGCTGGGTTTTTTTGTTTTTGTTTTTGCAATTTTAATCCTCAGGAACAGGATCTGGACTTGGCACATTTCTTTTAAAGTTGCTTGAGGATGAATTCCCAGAAGTATACAGATTCGTGACATCAGTTTATCCTTCTGGTGAGGATGATGTCATAACCTCACCTTACAATAGCATCTTGGCAATGAAGGAACTTAATGAGCATGCAGACTGTGTGTTGCCCATTGACAACCAAGTAAGAAATAACATTGTAATTTATGAGTATTTAAACATTCAGTCTTGTGTTATGCTTATATGTGCATAGGAAACATTCTCTTCACTTTTCAGCCTTCCCATCTAAGAGGAGAAATAAGTTTAAATTGTTTTTCTTTCTCTTCTTTCCTTCCTGGTAAAATGTCATCTATGTCTGCTCTTGTTAATAGCTTCTCTCCCAATATTTTTCCTTTAAAAGTCTTTATTTGACATCATTAGCAAAATTGACCTCATGGTGAATTCTGGAAAGTTGGGCACAACTATAAAGCCAAAGAGTCTGGTTACTTCAAGTGCTGGGGCTGTTAAAAAGCAGCACCAGAAGCCCTTTGATGCAATGAACAACATTGTGGCCAATTTGCTGCTGAACCTAACAAGGTAATCCTATTGATTGCAAAACTTAGGACAGTTTAAAAACTTCACTTGGCCTCTGATGATACTTGCAGTAGCATTTTTGTAGTAGCATTTTTCAGTTTTCCTAAGTCACAGGAGCTTCTTTTTATTTTATTTTATTCTGTCTAGCGTTTTCAGATCTTGGAGTGATACACCAGAACTTTCATTTCTATTACTACAAAGCAGCATTTTCCCAGGTGCATTCCAGAGAATATTAATAGGTGTTAAATGAAAAAAGTATGTCACAGATAAACACTTGAGAACTTGGTTAGATAACAGTAAGCATATTTTCTTTGCTGTAGACTGTCCTCATTTTTTAAAGCAGCTAATGTTTACCTCCTTATTGTTAGTTGGTCCAAAATATATCCTTGACTTTGATCTAGAGGATTGCTTTGGCATTATTATATTCCAAATTATAGAGCATATTAGGCAGACCCTTGAAGAATTTTTATTAAATAATTATTGACCTGTGTTTAACTCAGTCTGTTTTAAGTAAGATATTTTTATATGTGTAATGTGCAACATGATAGTGTGTTGGTTACACGTCGTATAATCCACAAATAAGAATTGCTATAGATGTTGTGTGTTAAATTTTAATTACCTTTATACATGATATTCATGATACTAAATTTCACTAATACAGAAAAAAGGAGCATATATTCTCTACTGAAGAACAGTGTACAAAAGGATTTAAGAATGCCTGCTGAATAAATAAAGCTACATTCAAAGTATAAAATTTTAATATTAAATTTTTTTCTCTTGCTTTAATGTTAATTTTTTAGCTCTGCAAGGTTTGAAGGGTCCCTTAATATGGACCTTAATGAAATCAGCATGAATTTAGTTCCTTTTCCTCAACTGCATTATCTTGTGTCAAGCCTAACACCTCTGTATACACTGGCAGATGTTAACATTCCTACCCGAAGGTAAGATGCAGTAACTTTATTCTAATGACTTGATAATTTGAATTACTTTTAAAAAAAAAAATTTTAAGTTTGTAGTAACTCTGGGTATTTTTTCGTGTCATTTTCTTTGTGTCATTTTCATTTTTTGAATCCTTTATTTTACAAGTCATTGTTTAAAAAGTGAATATTAAACCATTTGACATTAAATCTAAATTTTTAAGCTAATGAAATTCATAAAGATTTGGTTTTTATTGAAAAAGATTTCAGGGCTTTGAAGTCTGACAAACTTAAGTCTGAATGCTAATTCTGTAAATAGCTATAGGACCTTGGGCAGGTGGACTTACCTCATACGCTTGTTGGGTATATTAAATAAGAGTATCTTTAAAGCTCTTATCACAGTCCAGCACCATAGAAGGCTTTCCAGTGTTACTGTTTATGGTAGCTGCTATATATAATTTCCAGAACACCTTGTTTTGTAACTGTGTGTCATTTATAAGCATAAAACTTAGTCTACTTAACAAAAAAATGTAGTTGAAAAATATTCTGAGCATATACAGTGATAAGCTTGAAAAGGTCCCACTGGCGTCCACAGTTGACTGAGGGAAAAGGTCCTGTCAAACTCCGTAAGACGAAAGTATGTAAATGATAAAAACCAGATTAAAGATCTTCTGTATAGTTTAAATTTTGGCACAATAACAGTTCTACACTGTAAATGTCACAGTGCTATTACCTTTTATTTAAGCTGTTAACAAATAAACAGTTATGCCAACTAATAGATAGGATTCTTTCTGCATGGAATGCTGATGACCTTAAGTTAAGCAACTTGCATTGTATGTGGAACATGGTAATCATTCACTAAATGTTCACTGTTATCAGCCCCGCATATTAAAAATTAGTGTATTTAAATAAAATGTGGACACATAGAATGTAAATTGGTGCTGAACTATTTATTGTACAATAGTAATAGTCCAGACATTTTTACATTTAAAGTTAATTCTTAAAAAATACAGGGAATTTCTAATTAAGTTCAGCATAAAGAAAAAAATGTTTGACTTGGTCCTTCAACCTGAATGTTTCAAAGCCAATTAAACTTTTAATCCTGCTTTTGGCATATTTTGATAAAAATTATACTGTTGCAGCATTTTGTATTCATATAATCATAATTTGTTACAAAGGTTTATTTTTAAAATGTGTTTGTGAAAATGTATAAGGGACTTGAAAGATTTTATACTCTTAGGGAACTTGTCACAGTGTTCTTTGTGTTTTTTCCCTTTTTTTTCTGCTGTACTATAGATATTTCAGAGGCTGTCATATCAGCACATGAACACGCTTATCTATCCTTGAGTAAAATAATAAATTGTTTTAAAATTGTACTATTAAAAGTCAGTTTTAAAACTCTTTAATATCTTATTAGTAGTGAGAATGGTTTTTGTTGTACCTTTTATTAATGTCAGTCCTGTACCTCATCCCATTTTTATCACATGAAAATAATAAGCACATATGAGAATTGTGTTTATGTTTATTGAAATTCCATATTTCTAATGTAAATAAAGATAAGTATCCCAAAATTATACATAGCTCCTTGCTAGTTTTTATATTTTGCAGCAGAGGATAAATCAAGAATGAGTTTACCCACTTGTTGTATAGTGGTTCTCATCCTTTTCTGGGTTTCCTTAACTCCATAAAAATGCCCAAAAGCACATATACACCAAAATTTTGAACACAGTAGCAGAGGATTTACGAACACCCCACAGCTCACCATTCCCTAAAGGAGTCTTCTATTCTTCTTGCTGTCACATAACCAAGATCGAATGTAAGCTCCAATAAAGTAGAAATGTTTGTTGTTCAGTGCTGGGTCTCTTGCACTTAGAGTAGTGCCTGGCACATAGAAGGCATTTAGTAAATATCTGTTGAATGAGTAGGTAACACTGTGATTTCTGCAGCTCTTCCCAGACATGATATAGATTCAGCACACAGAATCTAGAGTTATCTAGGGAACCTAATTATATTTGTATTGAGTTAAGTGGGATTTAAGAACCAGGCTGGGGCTATATTAAAGACCCAGGATCCTGTGTATTATTAGATATACGTATGTTGGCACCTTTTTCTTCCTCTCTAAATAAAGGATAAAAGATGTCCTCCTCTCTTCTCATATTTCTCATCAAGATTGTTTTGAGAAAATGATAGCTGAAATGTAGAAGGTGTTTGTATGTGAAGTTTATTTACCTGTAGGTGACTATCTTTGTACTTTGTAATTCTACATAGAAGAAATAATATTTTGTATAAACAGTGATTCTTTCATTGTTCTAGGTTGGATCAGATGTTTTCAGATGCCTTTAGTAAAGATCACCAGCTAATTCGGGCTGACCCCAAACATAGTCTCTACCTCGCCTGTGCCCTTATGGTTAGAGGAAATGTACAGGTTTCAGATCTTCGCAGAAATATTGAAAGGTTTGATTTTATATTTTCATGGTAATTTATGTGTACTACTTGTAACAGTGTAGCATAGTAGTTCACATGGCCTCTCTTCGAATTCTAGCATTGCCACTTAACTAAAGGGTGACCTTGAGCAAACTACTTAGCCTTATTTTTCTCAAATGTAAAATAAGAATAATGGTACAAAATTGTTATTTTTGAATAGTGAATGATACAGGAAATACTTTATTTTCTGAAAGTGTTCAGAAAATTTAACTACTGTTTTATTACTACCACTACACCGCTTCTAAGTTTATGTTTTACTATTTTTTGACAGTCTGTTTTTAGGAAAACTACTCTATTGAATTACAAAGTAAGGAAAATTGTAATTTTTTTTAATTGTAATATTTTCATCTCTTTTTCATCCCCAGATTTAATGTCCTCCTAACTAAATGTCCCTTAGCTCATTGTCAGACTGTACCATGATACTGCTAATAGTAAAAAGTAGGTAACTTATGTTACATACTGAGCAATTAGAATGGTACCATCAGTAATGTCTGCTGCCATATATGGCAGATACTTTCAGTACCTTCATTCTCACCTTTGCATTTTTGTATCTCAGATTAAAACCTTCTCTACAGTTTGTCTCCTGGAATCAAGAAGGCTGGAAAACCAGCCTGTGTTCAGTACCTCCTGTGGGCCATTCCCATTCATTATTAGCTCTAGCAAATAACACATGCGTGAAGCCTACCTTCATGGAACTGAAAGAGAGATTCATGAGGCTCTACAAGAAAAAGGTAATTATCAGTACACCTTTGTAACTATATATGTTTATTTTGGCTATTTAAGATGTCTTCTCACAAATTACACTATCACAAATCAAGGGCAATCCTGACTGCTCTATTCACTGTACTGATTATAACTGAAGAGGAGAGGTTTACTCAGACTATCTAAAGGAGAAATCTCGTGAGTTTATGGGATTTGAGTTCTCCTTTCTCTTGTAAAGCTGAGTGAAGTATCACTTTAATAAAGAATTATTTATGTTTTAGGATAGTTATTTATGTATTAAATTTTCTGAAAATGGTCAACATTATCCAGTTTTTTATTTATAGGCTCATCTTCATCACTATCTACAAATTGAAGGGATGGAAGAAAGCAGTTTCATGGAAGCTGTGTCATCTTTATCAGGGCTCATAGAGGAATACAACCAACTGGATGCCACGAAAAGCATGCCTGTGGAAGATTTTCCTAGACTAAGCATAGCTGTGTAAAAAAGAAACCCCAAGATACAACTTTTACTTTTCTTAATTTTACACTGGATTTTGTCACCTTTTCTTTCTGTTTTCAGAATTTTTGTGATTCAGAAAACCCAGTTTGCACTTTTCCTATTAGAAAGCATTTTGTCTTAAAAAAAAAAAAAAGATTTTCATTTCATCACAATTTGTGGGTGATACCAGTCTGAAATTACTGAAGTCCTACTACCTTAACTTCAAACATTTGTCTTCAAGAAAACAGTTCTTCAGTACTTTTATTTATAGTCTCATATTTAGGCATTAATACAATGTCAATAAAAATCTTACAAGGTATATTTTTATTTATAATTTATTTTTTTATATTCTGTTTAAATTCTCCTGATTTTTTAAAAGCAAGTACAAGGAGTATTAGAACACAATATAAATACTTCTATGTAATACCCACTAACTTTTCTAGGATAGGTTTTATTACAACTATGAAGGAGGTTTTGTTTCTTTGGGTAACCACGTTTGCACTCAAAAGAATCAAAATTACACTTATTTTAACATTTATATATATTAAATTATCTTTAAATATAATGTTTTATTAAACCAATTGATTTCATAATAAATGTCCATATTTTTAAACAGTATTGCTTGTTATTATTGGTTTTGCTTATCACCATTTATATAAGCAAACAGAACATTACTTAGCTTGACATCTTCCAAACTTCACGGGAAAATGGCTGTAATAGTCTAGTGAACGTGTTCCAGTTATTATAATCTCCAGTTATAGTTTTAACATTAATTTATCTTTAAATACAATTTATATTTTAAATCCAGAGGTGGATTTATCACTTAAGGAAGTAATTTTTAGGAACAATTTATTCTCAAGCCAAAATAATCTGTGCTTTCTTTAGTGCTAAGTTTTTTTCTTTCCTTTTCAAAGTAAGGATACTGCTCTTGATCTTTATCTTGGAAATTTCATTTTTTACAACATTTGGTATAAAAACTTTTAGATTACACTTGTCAATAATGGCCAAATTATCTTAGAAACTTCATTTTGTACAGTATTTGGTATAAAAACTTTTAGATTACAGTTGTCAGTAATGGCCAAAGAAGTTCTGTTTTCTTCTTTCAAAAGAAATCTTAATAAACTGATACTCAGGATAGGGTAGTGGAAATTATATTTGCAGTTTAATCTTATCTTATTTAAGAATTAAACCCAGAATCTTGCTCACCATGTAGTGTTGATCATCTGATGGAATCCTGGCTACATTGTCAAAGTACAGATAAAGTTTTAAAAAATAAAGTTTTAAAAAAGTTCTACTAAACTTTTACACATCATCTTCAACAAAGTATTCCAGATTATTTTATAGAATAAAATGCTTTCTTATAAATTGTATAATTTTTCCATTATGTATGGAATATGTAGATGGAAGCAACTATCTGTGTATTTCATAATTAATTATACATTTAAAGAGCTCACTTTTAAGATTTTTAAGACATCATATATATATATATATATATATAGTTTTTTGGGTGCAAAAAAGGTTTTATTAAAGCTCAGGGACAAGACCTGTGAGCAGAAAGAGCTGTACCAAGTTTTACATGTATTTTTAAGAGAACGGTTTTTTTTAAGATTTTATTTATTTATTTGACAGAGACCTAACGAGAGCAAGAACACAAGCAGGGGGAGTGGGAGAGGGAGAAGCAGGTTCCCCGCCAAGCAGGGAGCCCAATACGGGGCTTGATCCCAGGACCCTGGGATCATGACCTGAGCCAAAGGCAGAGGCTTAACGACTGAGCCACCCAGACACCCCAAGAGAACCTTTTTAATAACTTCTAATGCCTTAAATAGAGTCATCTGAGAGTAGGTAGGTATTCTTCCCTTTTTTAAACCAATAAGGTAGATTTGCCACCCTTTTAAAACCACTCTAATTTTCTAATGTAATGACATGATTACCTGAACTTAACTTTTCCCATATATACTAGGTTTTATAGGATCTTGAGGTCAGAAAATATATCTCCTGGATCTCTGCAGTTCCTTTGGCATACACAAGATGTAATCCACAGCATCTTCCATTTAAATGACCCTTCATTTGGGCAATCAAATTGAATGGTAATCATTTTAGACTTATTAGGGACACAGCATCTCTTATCCAAGCATACTCCACAGAAAGTGGGTTTATAACTCTGAGTGCTTGAGCATCCAGAAAAGACAAATTTTTCAGCTTTGAGGAGTTGGAAAGTAGGTTGGCATGTTTTTCCTTTGGGGATCTGAAAAGGTACGTAACATTAAGAAGTCATTCTTTAATTTGGTTACAACAGTTTAGAAAAGTGATACTCTATATAGAGAAACAAACACAGAGATAAATTATTTCCGGGGCATTAATATTTCCCATTTAGTGACTTTCAGCACTCTCTTTTCTACCTTCGAAATCCCCTCGCCAGAGGTCTGTCCTCCCTGTTCTTGTTCCATCATAGTAGAGGACCCGCTCCCCAGTCTTTTCTGTTATCCACTCTTCACTTAGTTCCACGGTTTCCACAATGAAAATTTCTCTGTCTTTTTTAATATCAAGGGCCATGTCTTATTAAATGTTTATTTACCGAAGACTTAGCAAATTCCCTAACACAGCTCAGACAGTTTTGAGTGGATAAATAAATGAATACATATCTTAATCCCTTTAAAATTGAGTTGTCAACTTCTTAATATGATAGGGAATAACGGAGATGAGAAGCCTTTTAGCATTCCTAAAACTTACTCTTGAGACCGTTATCATGCCTTGTCCTAGAAGCAGGACCAGCTCTAGTTATACCAAACAAGTCTAGAGTAAATATTTTGTCACAGTCCTTTGGCAAGTTTACTATCTAAGCACAGAGCATTTTGGACTTGGTTTCCCCCTCCAGCTTGATAACCAAGATCAGAATTTCTCTGAGGTTCACAATGTCTGTTTTTATAATTATGATGTAGCAACCAAAATCTTTTATCCATTGCCTTGATTCCACTACATAAAATTAATATATTTTTTAAAAGAATCTGAAAAGGATCTACTTTTAAAAAACATGTATGTTGGGTGTACCAGAAGAAATCAGGCTGATTAAGACCCACACTGTTAAGTTGTTAGAGTATCTTGAATCAGCAGGGTAACATTACCTCTCCGCTTGGTAAGATTTTCCCCATGAAGTGCAGTTAATCTTTGTTCTCCTCTGAGATAGTTTGGGTTACAATGAGGTGATTTTATTTTTATAAGAATCACATACCATCTATCCCTCTAAAACACACGGGCACTTTTCAGGAGTCTCTCAATATTGAATTATAATGAAGTTAAATCTAATTAAATGTTACCTTTACTCTCTTTGATATATTACTGTCACAAGGTTGAATGTAACACAGTCTTCTCTCTTTTCTCATTTCACAGTTGCTATTTTCATTGGTGACCCGATCAGATATTCCCATCCCACATGTTCTGGAGCAAGGTGTCCACTTTGTTGCTTGCACAAGACATTTTCTTTTCCAAACAAGTGGGAGATTCCTATAAGCTAAAATAAAGGGGGGAAAGTACACGGGTATATATATATGTACTCATGTCGATAGGCCACTTTTTTTTTTTAAAGATTTTTATTTATTTATTTGAGAGAGAGAATGAGATAGAGAGAGAGCATGAGAGGGGAGAGGGTCAGAGGGAGAAGCAGACTCCCTGCTGAGCAGGGAGCCCAATGTGGGACTCAATCCCGGCACTCCAGGATCATGACCTGAGCCGAAGGCAGTTGCTTAACCAACTGAGCCACCCAGGCGCCCTCGATAGGCCACTTTTAATCATTATTTTTCAGCTAATATTTAATAGATCAGAACGTTTTATGTAATGAAACTCAGCATAAAATAAGCTTAAGGTCTAATTCATCATTCTCTTTTTCCCGCTTTCCAAATTACCTTTCAATCAAATGTGACAGTCCAATGTCTTAGGAAGAATAAAAATATCTTTGAAAATCTGAGTAGATGCATCCACTTGCTTCTGCTTAGCTCATCTAAGGAGTAAACTACTGTGTTTTCTCTGGTTTTTGCCTCTTGCTGGATATTCTTTTCAACAATGAAACAGACATTAGTAGGATTAAGGAGTTCAAGATATTAATCAGAACAATGTCTTAATGTTAAATTTCATATTATGTTAAAATCTAAAATACAAAAGTTATATTTGAGAATAAACTATTGAGGTCAGTTATTTTTCCTCCACTTATTTTAATCTAGTCTTGTAGAAAATTCTCTACATTACATTGAACTAATCAAAATAATCATATACTAAGTCATGGCAAATGTGTAATCTATTTTATTCATTCAGCTTAATTGCTACATTCACTATGGTATCAGGCCCATTGTATTCATTCCATTGGCCAGCCATTTCAAATCAGTTCTAGAAAAAGACATGGCAAAGGAAAAGATGGATAGATCTCTGGGTGGCTGGGTAAGTTGGTGGATAGACGGAGTCCCCTCCACTGATTCTGGCCTAGCAGAAGGGAGGAGAAGGGGATGAATAATGAGAATACAATGAGTGCATAATAATTCTTCCATCTTATAAATCCATTGGGAGCTTCTTGTTCTGCTCATGAATGAATCAGACCATTGCTTCGTTTTAAACAAACTACATATTGGTTTATTGTCTCAAAGTATTTCCTTAAGGTTAATATGCATCCTAAAATGGATGCTTGGAATAAGGTTGTGATTTGAGTCTGCAGTTGAACATAGCAAAATTCTGGCTACATTACTTCAAAATGCCAATTTAAAACTCTGAAAAGATACTCCCCACCCCACCCCACCCCCACAAAAACTGCCTTCTTAATAGGAAATATCAGTCACTTTGAAGTATCTGCTGTCTTGGAATAAAATGATACTTTACTGCTTTCGGTGTTATTACAGTAGGATCTTGCAATTGCACAAGGAACTGAGGGAGAGGAAGCAGAAACATGAAGATACCTGGAAGGTAGACAACAGTTTAAAGACCTCAATGCAGGAAGCAGATTAAAAGCACGGCACGCATCTGCAATAAATAAAGGAAGGTTAGATTATCATATTACCAATAACCCCCTTAAAGTTAAGCCAAGAGCTGCAGTTCAGGAATTTAACATTCATTAAAAAGCAAGAAAACTAGAAGAGCTTTTAAAGAGTTTATTTAGTATTTGGTGAGCAGTGAGGAAAGCATAGGGGCATTATGTCACTGCATGCTTCATACGGAGCAAACAAAGGCTAGATTCCAACCATAGGCTGTCTGGAATTAAGTATATAAATTACTACCACAAATATACCTTAAAGTGTGTGTTTGTCATTGTTCTTAGTTTTAAAAACCAACTTCTGTTTGGGCCCATAAACACAGCTTCCAAGTTAAGCAGAGGAGAGACTTTAGACTGAACATACAGTTCCTCTGAAACCTATCTAGGCCTATGATCTCAACTACCAAGAGCACAGTGGCAGATGTTCTCGTTTTTTGTAGCAAAGCATTAACCACTAAGAATGACCATCTAACACCCCCTCCAACCAGGTTCCGAGTGAATCATCTGGAACTGCTCTACCTCCACAAAGGAGACTGACTGAACTTGATCCAAAGGGCTTTACTTGTGGAAACTGTTGGGCTAAGGTGAGGTTCATGCATGGGTCCCAAGAACTCACACTGAGTCCCTCAGATCCAATGCAGAAAATCAACTGTTCCTGTCCATTTTGAAAAAAAAGAACAGTTTGGCTTATAATTTGAGAGGTTTTAGAGCATTAGTAGTGTCTTGCTATTAGCTGAAAAACTAAGTATGGTAAATGCAAATTCACCACACCCTGTTAAATTATTTTCAAATTAATTGGCTTAATGGAAGTCTCTGAGAATGTTCCTTTCGTAGAGTTAGTTTTTAGATATCTAAAACTCATTTCTCTGATGATAGGTGCTTTTATTAAATACCCACATAACAGAAGTGAACTTAGGAGTTTTTAGTGTAGGTGAATATCCCTTCTGTATCTCCATGGTACCTTTCATTTCCTAAGCTCTAAATTTCATGAAAAAGGCATTCTTGATTTCTGGTTGAAAACACAGAGGTGTGAATAATAACCAGGCATGAATACTGACCCTTCTGAGTCTTCCTCATCTGTGCTTCATTGGTTGGTGTTTTTGAAACTCCTGTCCCCAAAATGCCCTGGCACTTAAATAAGATATTAACTTAGAGCTGAACAGAGTACAGCCTTTGTGCATATATGGACACTCACCGCAAATGGCCGGTGCTCAAGATGAGTGATGAGTCTCATTATAGGTTTCTGACTACTCACATACCTGGGGAACCTACTTTAAAACACCTGTACGTGTGTTGATTTAGAGAGTGGTTGGTGACTGGAGAGCTTCATTCCCAGAGGATAATCTTATGTCAGCAATTTTCTGTTTTTAGAAACAATATTTACAAATTCTAAACATATTCTTAAATATTTTTAATCAGTAGGCTTCCATTTCTGCTTTCATCATATAGCAAAGTTGCCTTTGAAAATTTTGGGGACTGGATGGTTTGCACTTCTTGCCCATAATATAACAATACAAGTAAAAGTTTTTCCCAGGGTGCACGTGAACAATAAATAGTTGGTCAACTTTCCTGAGAAGGGGCTGAGTGGGAATGAGCAGAGGCATAGAAGAGTTTTTCTGACCCAGCAGAGCTTTTAAAAACTGGAATGTTTTACTGGAAAAATCTAAAACATTACAAAGTTTCCTTTTGAGATACTTAGAATATACCTCTCTGAGGCAGACTGAGTAATGGCACAGCCAAACTAAATCTCACATTGACCACTAATCAATAAGTGCTTACTGAGTACCTGTGATACATCAAAGGAACATGAAAGAAAATCACGAGAAGCCATACATGAAAATTAAATATGCCTCTAAGCACCTGGCATTGTTTTGTAGGTTGTTGAAAGCTGCTGTTGGAATGGTCCCAGGCCACAGTTGGATTGATCAGACTTCTTTCTACCTTTAGCCCCAGAGCAGTGACTGTCAGCCAGCTTTGGTATGAACAGAGGTGTGCATCCAATGGCTCCACTCACACAGAGGCAGCTAAACAGGGGGTTGGGCTGAAAGACTTGGCCATTATGATAATGTACCCCGTTGAACTCGCATCCCACAGCTATAAGGTCTGAAAAGAGAGAAGAGCAAAATCACCAAAGAAGCCATAACGGATAGTCCAGACCTCCCATGATAAACCACAGAGTTAATGGCTATCTCCTTCATGAGGTAGCGTTCTCAACTTCTTAGGCCCCATCTGGAACCTCCTTTTCAGAACATCTATAAAAGGTGAAAATTAGACATTTTCATTTTATTGTAGGCTACTGGCCCCAATTGGTCCCTTTCAGAATTAAGACCAAATACAGGCCCTGTTCTATCACTGTGAGGATAGCAGTGAGATAATGACTGTAAGTCTGAGAGATGGGCTGGTGGCAGGTAAGAGGTTTCCCCAGATGTCCAACAATAGGCAGGGATATATTCATAGGAAATGAGACTACATGAATGGTTGAAGAAATTATAATTGGTTTAATTACAGTACTCCATGATAACTAATTCCTTTCTTTCGTTAAGAGAATCGGAGGAAACTTTCACTCCTCTGAGAGGCATTCTTGACCTGGATCAACAGTTTTCAGAAGTGTGACCCCTTGGGTCTCCTGGCAATACTGAGGCCCTTTCGAGAGCATCTGCAAGGTCAAAACTCTTTCTCAGAATACTAAGAGGTGCCTGTTTTCACTGTGTTGATATTTGCACTGAAGGTACAAAAGCAATGGCAGCTAAAGCTGCTGCTGGAACCTTAGCGTGAAGCAGACCATACAGGGTCGTCACTGTATTTTTGCCTTGCCACTGCACTTGTCCATAAATGTACTTTTGGAAAAAAAAAAAAAAAGCTAGTTTTACTTAATAATGTCCTGACAGCACGGTAAGAATTACTAACTTTATTAAATCTTAACCATCAAATATATGTCTTTTTAATATCCTGTGAGACAAAATAAGAAGTATTCACAGAGCATTTCTATAGATAATTCTATCATTTTGAGGAGAAGCACCTATTCTATTGCTTGAGTTCTGGGCTGAACCAGCCACTTTTTTAGTAGGAATTTCACCTAAAGAAATGACTGACAGAGAAGCCATGATTACTCAGGCACTTGGCAGACGTTTCCTTGAAAATCAACAGTGAGCCTGTCATTTCAAGGAAAACAACTTTCTGGCCAATGACAGAATTCAGGCTTTCAAGCAAGAATTAGAATTTTGGAAAACCTGTATCCACCGCTGAGCTCTTTATAGCTACCCAATATGCAGACTTTTCTGATGATATTAGTATTAATTAATGTGATTTTTAAAAATATTATATAATTAAGTATATCAATATTTGGAACATCTATATAACCATTGTTCCAAACTAGCATTTTCCAAATAACCAATGCAAGGTATTACAAAATTATGTATGAGTAAAAGACCCATTCCAAGTGGGTCTTGGATAGACCATTTCATTGTCACAATTTGACAAGTTCATTGATACGGTTGCAGAGTCCATGATGTAGCTAATTTTCAAGAAATTACCACTTCTCCAGTTTTAATATCAAAAAGAATATTTGCAATTATCTGAAAATTCTGTTAAAATATTCCTGCCTTTTCCAATGACCTATCTGTGTCAGGCTGGATTCCCTTCATAGATTTCAACCAAAATAACATACAGGAATAGATTGAAAGCAGAAGCAGATGGGGAAATCTATCTTCTGTTAAGCCGGACATTAGAAAGAGGTGCAAAAATATAAACCTATTTCATTCTTCTAATTTTTCCTTTGTTTTGGAAAATATTTTTTCATAAATATATTCCCACCAAGCTGCAACGAGTTTCCTATTTTTAAATGAATTAGTATTTTTAAATTTCTAATCCATTTAAATACCAATAGAGAAAACCCACATAAACAAAAGCTCTTGGGGTCTTCATTAATTTCTAAGCGGGGGTCCTCAGACCAAACTTTAAAAATCATCGTTCTATATCACAGATCAGAAAATGTTCCATAAAGAGCCAAAGAGTAAATATCTTAGCATTTATAGACCATTGGGGTTTTGTCGCAGCTACTGGGCTCTGGACCATAAAGCCGCCATAGACCATAAAACTAGATGGTGTGGCTGTGCTCCAATAAAATGTTATTTCCAAAAACAGGCTCTGGGCCCGATATGGCCCCTGGGCCATAGTTTGTGACCCCAGTTAGAGGTCATTGCCACCCCCATCTTCATGGCTACGCTCTGTTAAAATACTCACCACATTGTATATGACGTCACATGTGGAAAGATCTGACACAATAAACTTTGACTCTGTAAGGGCAGGGCCTATATATATATATTTTTTTTTTCTTTGTTTTCTCCCCCAGCTGCTGGTCACAGTGCCTGCCGTGGTAGTGGCTGCTCACTACGTGCTTGTTAGGTTAATAAAATAACGTGCCCAGCACCGTTTGGGAGAAAGAGGTATCATCATGCCAGAGTCTGATAGGACATGTTTTCCCTGTTAAATTTTAATAATAGCTAACATTTTTAGGAGTCTACTGCCGACCAGATATTCTGCTAAGTGTTTGGGGTTTTGTATCCTTATTTCATTTGCTCCTCCTGGCATTTCTGTAAGGTAGGAAGTATATATGACGTAGGTCACTCAGCATATAAAGCCCAGAATTGGAACCCAGCGTTAGTCAGCACTAAACAGGGTATCAGGCTATCAAACCTGAACGCTCTACACGTTCGGTCCACGCTCACACCCACACTTCCGGGAGTAATTTGCCTGCCCACGCAGTCTTTCCTACAGACTGACTAAAATGTCCAGCTGACATGCGTATTTCTCTTCCCTTGGAAATTTTCATTTTAATCCCAGGTAAATCAGGATCCTGAATTGTCCTCGAGGTGTAGATTTAGAGGGTCTCAAAGTGTCTCCAGAGCTAAAAGCCCCTCAAACTGAGGGTCAGGCTGTGATTTGGAGTACCCCCCCCACCTTCCTTTTTACACATCTGCTTCAGCTAAAGAGTACAGTGACTTGCTGGTTATCTGGAAAGGCTGAGATGGAAGCAGGATGTCTGCATACTAGATGCACATCCTTACGTCTGAAGCGAGATTAGTTTTTAGTTACAGAGAAGGCTAAATTCAGACTGCGTTTGACCGCAGTATCAAAAGCTGTCACTGTGTGGCGCTGTTAGAAGTCAGACACGATTTACATAATCTTTGCTATTTTTCTCCCTAAAAGCAATCACCTAAGAATAACTACAAGATCACTTCAATGCAATATAAATAACAGGGGGTTCTGACCACGTGTAAACATCTGCCAGTGTCCCATGCTGTCCACTGTGACAAAGCCGGTCCCGCCGGTGTGTGAAAACGAAACCCACCTCACATGTGGCCTAACTCAGCTGACTATTCCACAGGGACAACGACAGAAGAACTGCCGCCCAGACTCGAGCGTCTCCCGCGGTCCGAGCCGGAGACACTTACGCGCACACACTCCGGTCTCGAACCGAGGCCTGTCGGCCGAGTAGTCACAGTACAGCCCTTTGTGGGGGTCACAGAGGTCGGCTTCGTTGCAGATGTCCCCCGGCTGTTTGGCACAGATCTTACAGCACCCGCAGCCGTCCCTCAGCAAGCTCACTCCAGGAGGGCAGCTGGGCTTCTGACGAGGGCATGTACAGGGCCAGTGACAAAACTGTCTGCGAGGCTGCACTTCCGGTTCCTCTCCAGGCCTTCCTTCCGGCGCCCTGGCCAACAGCCCGCCGCCCTGCGCCCTGCAGCAGAACTTCAGTGGGTAACACAGGTGCCATTAGATTACTCAAACTAATTTCAGAGATTTCTAGAAATAGAAGGCTTCCCCTAAACGGGTAGGATACCGTGGGGTGAGCTGTGATAATATTTATCAGTATCTGACCCCATCCATGTTTCCTTGAACCTTTCTTCACTCAGCTTCCAGAACCTCACTTTCTTCCTCCTCTCTACTCGCTAATGGCTCCTTCTCCGTGTGCTTTGCTGGGTTCTTTGCACGCTCTTCAACCCTAATTGGAGCCCCCTGTGGTGAATGAATACCTCCCAAGGCTCTCCCCTCACTGTATCTCATATCTCCTGCCACATCTCCCTTCTGGATTCCGATGCAACCTGCCAGATCTCCCGGTGGAGATCTGATAGGCTTAGCAAGCTCAACGTGACCAAAACAATCTCCCAAGTTTCCCTCCCCATCTACTCTTCCACGCACACCCCCGCTTGAGCACACGCCAATTTCATTTTTTCAGAATACCATGGGGTGCGGTTCCCCTTGATTCTTCTGTCACATTTCACATCCCACCCCATCAGTAAATCCTGTTGGTGATATCTTTAAAATGTACCCACTCTAATCATTTCTTAGCACCCCCACTGCTATCCTAGTGATCCAAGCCACTATTATTTCTCACCTTAGAGGATTATAATAGTCTCCTAAAGGTTCTCCTTGCTTCCCTCTTTGTCCTCTATGTCCTCCACCCAGCAGAATGGTTAAAATAAAATAAGCTACAGCCCCCGTAGCTAACAGTACTGTTATTATACACTTAAATTTTGCTCAGAGAGTAGATCTTAGGTTAATTGTTCTTACCACACACAAAGAATAATAAAGGGGACAGGAGGAAACTTTGAGGGGTGATGGATATGTTTATGGCTTGGGTAGTGGTGACGGTTTTATGAGTATGTACTTATCCCAGAGCTTATCAAATGGTATACATTAACTACGTATATCTTTTTACAATCATACTTTAATTCCTGTCACTCCTTCCTCAGAAGAGGTGGCTTCCTCATAGCTTCCCATTTCAGTGTAAAAGCCAAGCTACCAAGCTCCATCGGTTAAGGGTCTGCCTTCGGCTCAGGTCATGATCCCAGTTTCCTAGGATTGAGTCTCGCATCAGGCTCCCTCCTCAGCGGGGAGTCTGCTTCTCCCTCTCTCTCTGCCCCACCCCCCTGCTCATGCTTGCTCACACGCTCTCTCTCTCTCTAATAAATAAATAAAATCTTTAAAAAAAAAAAAAAAGCCAAACTACCCTCTGAGGCCTGCACACCCACTGGCTTGCTTCCCTCCACTCCACACCCACCTCCTTCTTTGAACACTCCAAGCCTGCAGCTACCTTCGACCCTCACTCTTTCACTTGCTTGGGGCTGTGCTCACATGTATCAGTGAGTCCCTTCTTGACCACCCTTTATAAAACAGCACCCTGCCCCAGCCTTTTCCCCATAGACCTTCTTACCACCTATCTTATTGCTATATGTTCTACTTGTTTATTTTCTGAAGCATGCATCAAGAATGTGAGCTTCTTGAAGGGCAAGCTCTTTGCTGAGTGTCTGTCTTATCGCCTGTAATAAAACGTATTGAATGAAAGAACATGGGACCTCCTATGTGCCAAGTGCCTTATATGATTACATCACTGAACCTTCATAAGAACAGTGGGGAGCAGTTATTATCCACCTGTAATAGGCATAGTAATTCTCCCTTCAAAGATATCTGTGTTCCATTCCCTGGAACCTTATTAACATGTTACCTTACAAAGCAAAGGGGATTTTGCAGATGCAGTTAAAAATCTTGAGATGAGATTATCCTGGATTAACCAGGTGGGCCCAATGTAACCATAAGATTCCTTAAAAAGGAGAGAGGCAGGGGGCGCCTGGGTGGCTCAGTCGGTTAAGCAGATTCCTGTTACCCCAAATATGACTTACATTTGGACTAATTGGTGTTTCGTGACCTTAATGTATTGCTTTTCACCCTCTGCACACTGTCTCTTAGCAATCTCGTCCACTCCCTTGCCTTCCATTTCCACCTTGTGCAAGCTTCAAAACTAAATTTCCATCTAGGATTTCTCCACTGAGCTCTAGAGCCATATAGCTCACTACCTACTGGACATCGCCACTAGAATGTCCTGTGGGAAAAGCTCATTTCCCCAAACTCATCATCCCTCACCCACCTCTGCCCCTTTGGACAGCTTCTTCCAAGTTTGGAGTTAGGAAGCCAGGAGTCATCCAGGTCATTTTCCTCTTCCTCACCTCCAATTAAGATAATTAAGATAATAACTAAAGTACCTTCCTCACCTCCCAGATAGCCATTCAGTGACTAATGCTTAGTGTCCTCATATTCCTAGAACTAGTCAGTGTTTCGCCGTTTGCACTGCTACTGAGTATGACTGCGACACATTCCTTCCTCGAGAATGACTTCCCAAATTAATCTACCACATTGCTGCTGGAGGGATCTCTTTAAAAAACATATCTGATTCTACTGCTCCTCTCCTTAAAGCCCATGAGTGGTCCCCTACTGGTTACACTGTGCAGTCCGAAATTATAAGCATGCTGTCTAGAGCCTGTGCTGGTTTATGCCTTCCTCTCCAGACTTCACCCTCAATGCACTCTCCTCTGCACCTTGCTGCTTACTGGACCCAGGTCAGTTTCCTCCTCCATGCTTTTCCTCATACGGCTGCCTCTTAAGGAAATGCCTACTCTTAAAACTGCCCACCTGGGGCACCTGTTTCTCTTCCCAGTCTTGGAACATTTCTGTATAATCTCTGAGGCCACAAGGTAGCACTGTTGAAAACCAAAGATAAAGAGAAAACTTTGAAAGCAAAGTGAGAAAAAAAAAAAAGCATTACATACAAGAGAATAACAAAAAGAATGAGATCTGACTTCCCATCAAAAGGAGACCACAGTGTTCTTCAGTAGGTGCCTCAGATATAGCCAGACAATAGAATAGTATTCAGTGCTAAAAAGAAATGAGCTATCAATCCATGAAAAGACACACGTATTACTAAGTGAAAGAAGCCAATCTGAAAAGTCTACATATTGTTTGATTCCATCTACATGACATTCTGGAAAAGGGCAAAACTATGGAGACAGTAACAAGATCAGTAGCTGCCAGGTGTTGAGGGAAGGGGTAAACAGGTGGTGCACAGAGGATTTTTAGGGCATCAAAAATACTCTATGATACTATAATGGTAGATATATGTCATTATACATTTATCCAAACTCATAGGATGTACATCACCAAAAGTGAACCCCAAGGTAAACTATGGACTCTAGGTAATAACGTGTCAGTGTAGGTTCATCAATTGTAACAAATGTACCATTCTGGTGGATGATGTTAATGGGGAAGCTATGAATGTGTACGAGCAGGTGGTATACAGGAAATCTCTGTACCTTCCTCTCAAATTTGCTGTAATTTTTTTTTTTAAGATTTATTTACTTATTTGGGAGAGATAGAGCACAAGTGGGAGGGACAGAAGGAGAGGGAGAGAGAATCTCAAGCAGACTCCATGCTGAGCATAGAGCCCAATACAGGGCTCGGTCTCATGACCCTGACATCATGACCTAAGCAGAAACCAAGAGTTAGATGCTTAGCCACTGCAACACCCAGGTACCCCTCAAACTTGTTGTGATCTTAAAGCTACTCTAAAAAAAATTAAGTCTTTAAAAAAAAAAAAAAAAGGAGGAGGAAGAGGAGAACAAGACCCAGTGCTGAAAGGGGCTGGGGAGGAGGACCGTCAAGCTGGTATTCTCTCTCCAGTGAAACTGTCTTTCAAAAGAGAAGGTGAAATTAAAGCCATTTCCAGTTAAACAAAAACTGAGAGAAGTTATTGCTGGCATACCTGCCTCACAAGAAATATTAAAGGAAGATCTTCAGTCTAAAGGAAAATTACAAGAGATAGTAATTCAGAAATACAGAAAGAAAAGAAGAGTCCCAGAAATGGCAAATAGTGGGAAACTATGAAGAGATATATATATATACATATATATCTTTTTTCTTCAGACATTTTAACTGTTTTCAAAATCAAAATCTCAGAACAACAAAATAGTCAGCAGACTCTTTTGGTGCAACAGAAAAGAAATGGAACAGAATTCTTTTGGTACACCCAACAGGCTCTTTTGGTGGAGCAGAAAGGGTTTTGAAACCAGAGCTGAGCTTTGGTATAGCTCTCTCTACATACAGAGTGATCTTCGATGACTTTCTATCATTTATTTGATCTTTGAGCCTCAATCCTCCTCTGTAAAATGGGATTATTAATATCCACCTTTTAAGGTTATTTTGAGGATTAAGATAATAACTAAAGTACCTAGCACAGTGCTTGGCATGTGGCAGATGTTCAACGAATGGTAGGTATTCTTCCCAAAAATTCATAATGGCAAGAGTAAGCAAAATAATACTTTCTTGTTGCTGTATTTTAGCACCTTTTTATGTTTGTTTGTTTTAATTGTGGACACATCTCTCTATAATGGAATATTTGCTGTTTGGGAATACCTTGTAGACTTTCCATTCACAACAATGATAGTCCTTTTCTCAAGAAGGGTGGACTGGGAGATAGGTAGCCCCATCTCACTTCTGCTGGGGAAATGTGCCCTCCACATAACAGTGGAAATAAACTGTACCACCAGCATTCTTATTAGGATTCTTTTATAATCTTGGATCTCTCCGTATAAAATACAACATATTTCATCTCTTGTTTCCTAAAATACAATTTACTGCCCTAATCAACTGTTACCTCAAAGACACGTCCCATGTTTTCCAAATCACCAGAAGGTTTCAAAAGCTCCATCCTCTGTGCAAGCAATAACCTCCACCGTGTAAATAAATCCATAAATAAGTCACCCTGTTTTCATCTTCTTGGTAAAAAATATTAAGGCAATGAATTGCTCCTATTAAATTAAACTTCCCTTTGGCCTGTTGCTTGAACTATTTCAAAGTCTTCATGGACTGATTCCCTTTCGTGAAAAGTGAGAAACACATGATTTGAGAAAAGACAAAGCAACAGAATGTTTTAAAAATATAAATGTGTATCCGAAGTGCTCCTCTCCAACAAGCACAGGCTTAACTGAAGAGAGCTGTCAGAATCAATTTTTCCAGTGGCTCTCTGCACGTTTTGCACACAGCCATGTAAAGCCGAGCCCCAAGCTGGGGCTCAGAGGCACCGTTCACCCCGCCCGCACCAGGCAGGCCTGCGCCTCCCAGTTCCGTGGTGTGTGTCCCAGTCCACTCAAAAATACACATTATTCCAGTCTGAGAGCTGTTCAAACATATCGGAAGTAGGATTTAGTGCCATTACCTGAGAGGGAGAAATGTTTTCCACTTCTTTCCCGAAGCTAATAAACTAAAACCCAACTTTCTTTGGAGAGGAAAATGGCTCCCTGTTGGGTATGAAGTCTTAACACAAAGAATTTACCCCCCAACACACACACCCCCACCCCCGCCTCCCCCGTCGTCTTCTTCCTTTTTCATTTCTGGCTTGAAGAAATAGGGAACCGCCGCAGGCTCCCGAGGGGAAGCAGGAGGAGAGGGAGCTTACCTGCGCCAGAGCAGCGCCCAGCAGCGTGGAGAGGAGGAGCCCCGGCATGTTCCCCAGGAGCCGGCAGCAGGGACAGAGGCGGCGGCTCAGGCCCCGCACAAAGGGCCCCTGTGTCTCCTCAGCAGGACACACACGCCTGCACCTCCCACGCCACCGACTTTGTGCTCACACTCTCAGCCTCTGCTTTTGCTCTCAGGCATCTGCTTTAATACCCTGTTTTCCTTCCTGCCACTTGCCTCATATTTACCTTCGCAGGGTTCGTGGAGTGCGTCATGAGGGTGTGAGTGCTCTCCTCCAGGACTAAGGAGGATAGGTCAAGTGGTGACTTTTCTCTGAGCAGCCGTTCTGCCAGTTCCCAGAGATCAGAGTCTGCCCTTTGGTAAAAAATGGTGCAGTTGGAGGCATTCACCTTCCTCGCCCTCAGCCTCCCGGTTCACTCTAGGCTCACCCTGCCCCCGGCCCTCCAGGCCCCAGAGCACAGAGTGCCGGCCTGCTCTCTGTCCCCCGCCCCAAAGGCAGCCTGCTCTGGGGTTCTCCCTCCACAGCGCTAACAGGGTTCCAAAGGCCTTCCCTGACTCCCCCAGCCCTGGATTCTGCCTCAGACGCCCACGGGGTGCCCGGCATTTACCTCCCTCACAGCACATCTCTCACACCAGCTGGCTCATGACTGGAAAAAATGGAGGGGGAACGGGGTGGACACCTAGAGTATCTGGCTTGAGAGAAGTTCTCTCTGTGGCCATGGCCTCATGACAGATAAAGTAAAATTAACCCCAATCTTTTTGGGCTAAGACAAAACAATTCTGCTGGTGGGAGTCATTTAACAAATTAAGATTGGGGAAAGAAAACAATTTCTTACAGATCTGTACCCTTCCTCCTCCTAAATCTCACCTGTGTGTGTGTGTGTGTGTGTGTGTGTGTGTGTGACCTTCCTTCATCCCACTTTCTCAGCCTTGGTCTTTGCTTATGCCTCTTGACATGCATCTGCATTGGGGCTTTGTCTCCTTGTGGATCCTGTGTCTGGTCCACCTTCTTGCCCCCATCCAAGGGCCTATTTCTATTCTCTTTGACCCTTTACACATCCTATCTCTTCCTGTTACCTTACCTCTCCTGGGTGCTCTGCTCACCTGTGTTTCGTTAGAGCAGTCCCAGCTATATAAAAACACGGTAAATAAAGCCTAGTGCCGAGGGTCTGGGGAAAATCTGGGCTCTCTGCCAACAATAGGGAATCTGGGGTTCCTTGGAGAGCCAGGGATTCCATAAGGTGCAAACAAACTCTACATAGATTATTAGTCAATTAAACCAAAATTATAATCACACCAAAACAGCAAGGAATACCCAGTGTGGTTGTGATGTCAATTCCTACTCCTTCTTCCCTAAGAAATAGGAAAAAACCTCAGAACCACCCAGTGAAGGAAAACGTATCTGTTCTGGTCCAATCCAGTCTATTTCTTTAATCTTTCTGGTGTAACACTGTTTGATCTTTGGGTTCCCAACCTCAGTGATTCCTGTCACACACTGGCCATCAGAATGGATTGTTTCTCATCTCCTGGCTGGTCTGTCCAAAGCAGAGGAACCCCAGGTGAGGGCTAGTGTACTGGTCAACTCCATCCCTCCTGCGCTTCCTGTTCCGAGTGTGATGCCGTTATATCTGTGGAGCCTTTGAGTTTAAGGAGATTCAAGCTCCTCCCCCTTCACTCTCTGTGAAATGCTGGTAGCAGCCTCCATTTTTCTGGAAATGTCTTCCCTCCCTCTGCAATCTCTCTGCAAAGGGGAGGAGGAGGTGTCATACTCAGTATCGTTGCCTCTTGAGGGGGAAGGAACATCTTGGTTGAGAACTAACTTGTGAGCCCCCTCCCCCACCGAAGTGTACAGAATTGATTGGCTCCAGGTTATTCACTGTCATACATGTTTACACATCTCCACCCCAGGGCATGCTCCTAGTTAACTATTTCACGCCTACTACAGATGGACTAAGAGAATATGATATTTTTAGAGGTTGGGGCTGCCATCTTTGACTTCTGACAATGAGAGCTGTCACGGGGTGCATCCTGTTCCAAGCACTTTCCTTTATTATCTCATTTAACAAAATACTCATCTGGCTAGGAACCCATTGCACAAGTGTTCAGCTCATGATGTGCATTCAAATACACATGGCACTGAGCATAGTTAATATTTGCATCATGTTTTATGATTTACAAGTAAGTTTCACATTATTATCTCTATTAATTTCACAGCTCAGTGAGGTAGGCAAAAGCAGTATTAACTATCCTCATTTAACATATTAAAAACTTGAAGTTAAGTGATTGTACTTGGTCAATAAAACACACTTAATCCCTGCCCTCCAGAGCTATATATAATGTACTGGGAGAGAAGTCACTAAACAAACACAAAGTATCCATCACTAAAAACTGAATAAAGGCTAAAAATAAGAGCAAGAAAGTCAAAGAATGGCAGGGAGGAGCTAATGGAGCTCAGGGGGCAGAGAGGACATCGCTGAGGAAATGGCCCTTAATGAGTTGAGAGAGGAAGCCAACTAGAGAGTTGGGGAAGACTTCTGCCCCGTGCTCTTTCCACTGGCGAAATGCACACCGCTGATGGTGACGAGCTCCATCTGCCAAGAGCACAGCCCACTGCCCTTTGCATAAAATGCCTGAAATCCTGCTATCGGGCACATCATCACAGCTAGACTATTCCCTTCTCCCAGGAGGATCAGCCACCTAGACAGGCAAAGGTCCAAACCCACACCTTCTTCCTTTTCTCCTCTCTTACTGTCTGTGGGAGGGAGACGTGCTGGCGTGCTAACACACTGGAAGTGTGCTTTGAGGTAGGGTCTGCATTTGCATCAGTGGAACTAGAGATGTACTACTAACAGCTAACAATGCCTGCTCAGGTGTGTCTCCATTGTGCCGACTGCTGTGTAAATATTGACTCATCTGATCCTCAAGGCAACACTGCAGGGCGGGTGCATCTTCCTTTCACTTATGAGGAAGCCACAAGATGAGGCCACATGGGTAGCAAGAAGCAAAACGGAGATTCCAAGTATTTACTCCCTTTGCTCGGCTCCCTCTCGGCCTGGCCTATACATTCCATGATAATCTGTAGCAGGATGATTTATTGAGATATTAATTTGCATTAAGTTCTCAACATTTTTCTTCTTCCTGCTCCTCCCTCTAACCTCAAGAAGTTAGTGAGGCCTTTTACACTTCTCTCTGGTCCATCCTCCAAGCAGAAAATGGAAGCCACCGGAACGCTTTATCTCATCTTTTTTTTTTCTTAAGATTTTGTTTATTTGACAGAACGAGAGCACAAGCAGGCAGAGTGGCAGAGGGAGAGGGAGAATCAGGCTCTCTGCTGAGCAGGGAGCCCAGTGTGGGGGCTGGATGCAGGGCTCTATCCTAGGACCCTGGGATCATGACCTGAGCTGAAAGCAGGTGCTTAACCAGCTGAGCCACCCACGCATGCCTTTATCTTGTCTTTTAGGGAGGCCTGATCTCACTGAAGAGGGGAGGCTGAGAGAGGAGAGTGGGGAGTGGATGTGAGGCAGTTGACCAGAGGAAGCGGGTACAGCCCATGCGTTGAGTGAGGACTGGATGCTCAGGCCATCTGGTGACAGCATCAAAGCCCAGAGGGACTTGGTGTTCCATGGTGCTTTCTGGAGATTGACCCAGCTTGCCATCCGCCAGCTCCCTGCAGACCTCTGCGCGCAGACATGGAGCGTCAGGGTGTGGGCAGAAAGCTCAGAGAGTGAAGACCAAAAGCCTGGCCTCTTGTCTGGGCACCGGCTAGACCTCCTGGACTGTTGCTCAGCCTCCGCCGATGGTGGTGGTGGTGGTGGTGGTGCCTGTGCTGGCATTGGGGCAGGGCGGGGGGGAACACACCGGTGGGAGCTTAGAACAAACTGATCTCCAGATGGAGATGGGGGAGGGGGTCCGAGCCAGGTTTAATTGTAATTGTAATTAAAGTTTAAACAATTAAATTTAATAAATTTTTAATTTTAATTCAAAGAAAATGAAGAAATGGACAGTTCCTACACTCTACTGCATGATTTGGAGAGTCACTCATACTTGTTCCAAATACTCTAAGTCTCACAAGATTGCTATTCTCCTTGTGTGTGTTTTCTTCCAAAGTCACAGGCCCTAGAACCAAAACCAAACCTGGGGCCTCTGTACGACCTCCTCTAGTTCTCTGCTCTCTCGCAGCAGGGCCTGCAGCCAGATCTCTAATAATTCAGTGATTTTTCCAGCCAGATTGACAATGCAAACATAACAGCGCTGAAGGACATGTACATGACAGGTGTTCAATAAACACTTGCTGGTTATTTAAAAGGACTCCTTTTAAAATCACACTCTACCATAGCTAAGCATGATTATCATTTTGCATGCATTTAGCCACTGCATTTTTTTATGCTCATTTTCTATTACTGATTATGGCACTTCTCACCTTTTTCCTAGATGTCTTCATCTTAAACGCAACCCAATCTTTTTACAAAGATTTTGCCTCATGATCCCACCGTGATTTTTGTGCTAGGGCCTGAGAGAGTTGGTGTATTCTCTCTGCTACCTCCCCTAACCCTCGCGAACGAGCTCGGTCTTCCAACACCTGTGGGTTCTCTGAGGGGCTGCCCTGCGCTAAGGCGTTGCCATTGGCTCCTCCCATCCAGCTTTTAGTGAGCCAGATCCAAGACGGAGCTGCCCCCCCACAACCACAAATCGCCCGGCCCTGCCATCTGCCGTCTTTTTGCAAAGAAGCAGGTGCCCTCGCCTCATTCCCAGGGCGTCAGAATGTCAGGCTGTGGCCCAAGGAAAACAAGGCCAAATAGCTCAGAGGGATGTAATTCACTTTGTCGCTTGGCCCTGTTCGTCTGGTTTGCAGGGGGACCCCTGTGTGGGAAAGAGGGCTGAGTTAATGGAGAGGTAGACACTGAGGACGCCCCAGGAGAAGTAGGAAGGGAGAGAGGGCAAGGACGGGGTTATTTTCTGTAGTACTGCATGCGAGTGGAGCTCATCTTTCAGAGAAGGAGCAGCGTGCCTAATGTCATTCCTGATCGGAA